TTGGGGTATAAATCCAAAACTACAGGGTATGAAAATATTGTTTTAAAAATTGATAGTGAAAATTGTCATAATCCTTTAAAAATTGCTTATCATTTTAATGACTTTTTTACTACTGTTGCTTCTAAGCTTGTGGATAAGTTACCTTGTGCTAGCAAAAGGTTTGACATTGACTCAAAAGCTTTGTTAGATTTTCATAATGATAGAAATACTAAGAATAATAAAATGTACTTAAAACATGTATCTGAGACATTTGTATATAAAGAGCTTATGAATTTAAACTCATCAAAAAGTACTGGTTTAGATGAAATTCCTGCTAGATTTTTAAAAGATGCAGCTTCCTTTTTGAAAATACCAATTACTTTTATCATAAATATGTCAATTTTAGAAAATAATGTCCCTGATGACATGAAAGTAGCTAGGGTAAAACCTTTATATAAAAAGAACAGTAATCATGAAGTAGGAAATTATAGACCTGTAAGCATTTTAAGCATTGTATCAACATTTTTAGAAAAATCAGTGTATTCTCAACTTGAAAAGTTTTTAGTTGATAATGGTTTATTGTATGAATTACAGTCAGGTTTTAGAAATTCCTATTCCACTGACACTTGTCTTATCCATCTTATGGATCATATCAGAAACAATAATTCCAAAGGTTTATACACAGGCATGATAATGTTAGATCTACAAAAAGCATTTGATACTGTTGACCATGATATTTTATGTGGAAAACTGAAATTGATGGGTATCTCTAACACTGACTGGTTTATGTCTTATCTTAAAGGTAGAAAACAAACTGTAAGTGTTGAAATTTTTTTATCAGATTATATGCCTGTTACATGTGGGGTTCCCCAGGGCAGCATCCTGGATCCTCTTTTATTTTTGTGCTATGTGAATGACATGAGAATTAGTATAGATCAAGAATGTAAACTTATTCTGTATGCCGATGACATTGCAATTCTTTTTGCCCACAAAAATCCAAGTATTTTTTCTCAAAAACTTGGACAAACACTAGAGTCTTGTTCATCTTGGCTTGTAGATAACAAAATTGTCACTTCATCTAGGAAAGACTGAATGTCTTATGTTTGGTTCCAAACGTAAACTAAAACAAGTTATAGAGTTTAAAATTGTTTGTAATGGACTACTATTGAATCCACAAAATCTGTCAATATCTAGGTTTAAATATTTGATGATTCTTTGTCAGGTGAATCTATTGTTAATAGTATTCTTACAAAGGTGAATTCACGTCTTATTTTTTTTGTATAGGCAAGCAAATGTTTTAGATTTTAGGACTAGAAAATATTTATGCTCAGCATTAATACAATGTCACATTGATTATGCATGTTCTTCATGGTACCCGAGTCTGAACAAGTGTTTAAAAAATAAGCTTCAAATTTGTCAAAATAAAATTGTTAGATTTATACACAGTATGGGACCTAGAGATAGTGTCGATAATGTTATTCATGCTAATATGTCTTTACTAAATGTAGAAAACAGAAATAAGCAATTACGTCTTAATCATGTTTTTAAAATTGTTAATAATCAGTGCCCTTCATATATGAAAGAAACTTTTATACCTGTTAAAGACATTCATTCTTATTCAACTCGGGCGAATCAGTATAATTTTAGGGTCCCAAGAAGTTATGGGAAAGATAATGTAACTTTTTTTCAAAAAGCAATTAATGATTGGAATTCCGTGCCTACATGCATCAAAAAAATTAGTAAGATAGGAGATTTCAAAAGCTCAGTGAAGGCAATTTAACTAGAACAGTTAGAAAATCATAATTAAATTCACTAGTATGACTAGATATTGATCTCATTTTTATTGTTTTCCATTTAGCAAAGTTAATGGAAATACTAAAGTTTGATATTTTACGTAAATGACATCTTCCAGTTTCCAAAGTTTTGTATTTTTCAATGTTTTTTTTTTTTTTTTTTTTTTAATATTGTATATTATAGTTAGTATATATCCAAGGACCCCATTGGAAATAAGCCTTCGGGCTTTCATGGGCAACCCGAGGTTATTACACACTACTCTATACATGCTTCCACTTTCGTCGTCACATTTTATTAAACGTAAATTGATATCTAGTCATAGGAAAGAGAGGGTTTTAGATTTTGTTTTTAGTTATTATATTTTATTATTTAATGAGCCGTCTGTGATATTTATGTTTGACAAACTTCCGAAATATTTTATTACAATTGTGTCATCAGTTTTATATAAAATGCTTAAGTGTTTGTATTATGTATATGTGTGTTTTAACCTGAATAAATATCAATCTATCTATCTAAATAAAGTTATTGAATAGTCCTCTAATTACCGATTGACATCATTTCAGGTATACAGTCTGAAAACTGCATACCCTTCAAAGCAGTAATCATATGGGATACATATACAGACGGATATCGCTTCTTCTATTACCAGAGAGTCTTTATCGTTAAACTTATCAACGAAATGCCTGATAACTCAAAAATCTATTTGAAAATATTAGGCTCAGACACAACTTCATTCCTTCATTTTGACAAAGATCATTTGAATGATTCATGGGTAGAAAAAATAGCAGGAATAAATGATCCTGCACCATTTAGAAATAATTCAATATCAGTTGAAATAATTAGAAATGACGTTTTTGATATTTTAAATACGAATATGGCTGTAGAATATTTCTTTGTCGTAAATGAATGTTCTGAAATAGAGGAAGAAGTTATTAAGATGCTAAAAAAACAGAAAACGTTTGTGGCGTTTGCTGGGGATACAGATTCGCCAGCTGTTTGGAAAAGACTTTCAACAAGCAAGAAACATTTGAAAAATCTCAACGACGATGTACATGGCCCCTTAGGACCTTTCTTAGATATCCTTTGTAGAGGTAATATTGCTTTGAAAATAAGGCGAACAATTATTTAGTTTAGCACTCAGACTTTGTAAAACATTTAAAAGCTGCAATTGAAAAATTAAACAATTCAAGAAACAAGTTAAATGGCGCGACATTAATGTTCATCTCTTGCTACATTTATTGATACTTGTGTCAAAAACAATACAGATTATCAATGTCCATAAGATTAAGATACGGAGTATATGGAGATCTGTCCTACTAACCCAGCGACGACAACCATGTCCAGATAACTGACAAAGTTTTTGTGCAGTAAATTATTTATAATAATTTCTTTATTTGTTAAGCTATTTAATATTTACTTTAAACTTCAAGTATATGTTTCTTATCAATGTAACAAGGTTTATAACTATAGAACTGATTTTTCCAGGACTATCTTCCCTTGAGCTAAGAATGATCATGAAACAATTTTTATTACTCCTTCTTCTTTCTATTTTTCTTTAAAATGATATATATCAAACTTCAAATGTAGTTTTCTTAACATCAGTCGCGTCATATGTGACAAGGTTCACAACTCTAGCATCAATATTATCAGAGTTATCCCCTTCAGACTCCCACATCATAGTTATGTAAAAATGTGTGTATGTATAGCGTCAATATTTTCAGAATTATATCCTCCTTAATTTTACTTTTTTGTCTACAACACCCATCTTTCTATAGTGATTTACTTCGAACTTTAGTCAAGTCCCTGACTTTCCTGATATACCCCCATTTTGAACTATATTTTGGATTTTATTTAAAAATTGTTACACGTATTTTCGTACTTGTCTTCTTTGTTACCATACATGCTATCTAGTTTAGACTTCAAATACGTGTTCTTTGCTATCTCTCAGACCATGTGTCTTATAAGTCTAGCATCTTTATTTCAAGGGATATCTCCTTTCTGAACTTTAAAATGTCATATACTAATGACTACTTGGGAGGTTTAAAGTTCTGCCTCCTGTCTGTCAGTCCATCTGCCTGATCTGTCTGTCTCTCAGTTAGTCCATTAACACTGTTGAGATCACTTTTAAAGTGCTTGGTACTTTTCCAACAAAACACTCAAAACACACCAAAGCTGAAACATTGTTATACATATTCATCCTGAGGAAGTTTGATAATTTGATTGTTGTATAAACATAATTTCCTCCTTATTAGGTAGGGAGACAGAAAAACTATGAGCATTTACGTAAGAACTTAAAGGTTCATTCATGTTTTCCACAATGCCTTAACTGAATGGCCATGGCCCTTCATAATGCTGCTGACATACTTCTTGTTTATGGGTCTTCAGTACTGCTTACAATACTTTGATAGTTATTTGTTTAATTGTTTCGTTTTATTCATTTTTTATTTTTTGTCTTACATTTAAATTGACAAAAAATGTTTATAAATGATGTTTACTTACAGATTCATTACTGATGTGTGACACAGACATGTATTGGAATGGGTTTCGGTGTTACAGATGTTCGTATATATGTACTAGTATTCCCTCCGAATTCTGCAAGGATGAATGTCCGTGTATGTAAAACATTAATTTTGTTTCGTTCTACTTCGAATTAAATTCTTTTTGGTATATGTAGATCTAATACTGTTGTAATTTGGTTTTAACATATTTATTTTATCAAGTTACACTATTACACATCAAAACAAAATGTATACAAAAATCATTATCTAGTTGATTGAACTGGAAGCTCAAAGTTTATTATAATTCTCGCCACGAGTAATTAAATAAGAACTAAAATAGAGAGCATATTTAAACAATCGTTTGTTGAAATTCTTAAGTTTCTTTTTCTCAATCTTTTGATTCTAGATTGCGCGATATATTCACTGCAATTAATGAGGTTTATTACTTATTGATGTTGTTTTCCTTCCGTTATATTTCTACAAGCAATACACATTATTTTGACTTTGAACCATACCATAATACGAAATTGTCACATTGTAAGTTTCATAACGACTTTCTTATGTACACGTGTGCTGGTGATTAAAAATTATCTCTTGCCTTAAATTCCATTACTTTTGTTGAGTTGTTTGTCCGCCATTGCTAGAAACCGAGGTTCGAATACTGGCATCCATAAGCACGGTAAATTAAAACCTCTAGTGATTCATTTTATTTTCCGTTTTTTATTTCAGATTATGGAATACAGACAAGAAATGGAAAACAGCCTGAATCCACAGATAGTGATTGTGGTATTCTTCATAGTTTCTCCACACGAAGTTATGTAATTCTCACTTTTGTAACTATTTCACTGGTTTTTCTATGCATTCATATCGGAGTTATTTTGAAAAACGAATGTGATAAAAAAAAAGAATAAATGATATTATACAAATTTACACATGTAACAAACACAGCTTAATATGTTCAATGCAAATTTTATTCACTGAACTTATTGAATTCCTTTTTGTTAAGTACTATGCTTTCATAAATATACATTACCGAATATTAGAATTTAAATTTGAACTACAATCATAATTTATTTTATAGTTGCGCTTACTATTTTATCACATAATTTAATAAAGCGTTATCTTGAAGTTTGATTGACTGAAAGGGTATTATAAGGAACAGAAATTTTGACACTATTGAGTTGTATGAAATAAATACGGTATGGGATAGGACACTGGATATAATCGTGTTTCGAGTCACAACAGAAGCGTAGAATATTACAATTGGTAAGAAAACAAAGTGTTGAAAAGCACTTGATGCGACTGGCAAAAAATGGGGATGGTTCGAATGCTGTCATATGGTCACAATGACATGTGTTTTGAAAGCTTATGTTTCACAAAGTTCACAAAGTACCCTAATTCGGTAAGTTATTCCATGCCAGTTTTATGGGCCTTGTAAAGTGACCTCCAATTAAGTTTCCGTAACATGTATTACGTTTGAAGTAAATACCTTCATCTTTTTCTCTGAAAAATGATGTTGCGTGTTTAAGTTTCAAAAGAATACAACATTGCAGTGCATGTTGCCCTGAAGATTGGTATTGCTTCCGAAAGAATTTTCTAACTCACACTTACTCGCAAGTAACTACATTTTTCCGTGTTATTCTTTAGGAAGCAGTGTTCTTTGTGTAATAGAGTTCAAAATTACAAAACCTTGCTCAATTTTATTTAAATACTCACCTTTGTTATAAATTTATCTTCTGTTTTTGAAGAGAAAGTTTTTTCTAAATAACAAAGAGCATCAAGTATAGGTTAAAGTTAATTAGTAAGCATTTACAAAATCAAATTGGTCAAGAACGAGAACGGCACAGCACTTCGTGTTTAAAAGTACTTTTTTAATAGGATTGTAGATTTATAAGACTGATTAATTGAAGCCGATTTACAACATTTAAGTATCAAGATTCATTTGAAATACTGTAATTCTACTGGACACAAAAATTCTAACAAAAAGTGCTGGCGTTTTTAAACACGGCGTTTTTATGGAATGTGTGCTACTTCCGTTAACTCACATATTTCGACATTTAGATGTGTTTTTATTTCAGATGCATATGTTCTTTGTGTCATAAAGTACAATATTAATCAGAAGTCGTAGTTCATTATAAAGTTACAGTTTGTTAGTTAGATATTTGTTATAAATCTTTTGATCTATTTTGTTTGATTGTTTTTGTCAGATATATTTATTTCATATTTTAGAGAAAGTAGTCTACACATATACATTCTTATGAATAAATGTTCAATTCATTTGTTTCTCGCCGTTTCATTTGACAAATATGTGAAATATTAAAAATAGTACTTGTATATTATGGTCAACAAATTGTATACGCGTAGTAATTGTGTAGAAAATCGTAGCGTAAGGAAAAGTAATGAATACATCGTATGGGTCGTATTTTATAGTAAAAAGTGCCGAGTCACCCAATAGTTTTCGTTCGCTATATAATATTTTTCTATATGTTAAAAGTAGTGTAAATTTAAAAGAAAATTATCTTAGTGTTGAATATAGTTTAAGTTTTTAAGTTAACATTGTACATGTAAAAGGTTTAAGTTGAAAAAAAGAAGTGTGTGATAGCATGTGGTAAATCGTGCCGCCCGTAAAAGAATGTCTTTGAAATCCAATCTTAAGAGCATGTATTACGACTATTTTCAAATATGTTTAGTCTTACAGCCCGAACCCAAACCCCCCTAATAGTTTTGTTGGTTGGCAATTTGTGTTATGTCACCAATCTCCGAATGCATTTGCCTCTTGTTAACATTAATATAACCACAGGTTAAACAAGCTATTGATGTTTCTGAATTTTTAGCTACTTGTTTCAGTAATTTACTGGTTAAAAGGTTTCAGTACAACACAAAATTTGATAATCACACGCAACTTAATGCCATTCCTTGGTGTCATACGCCACTTTAAAGCCATGAATTAAAAGCGCTGCTGCGAAATAACGGCCCAACGAAAATCTTATAAATTTCAAGAAAGGATATCAAAATGTCATACTAAATTCACTATCGTTCGCAATAAATTCACTATTCATTATGATAAATGAATTCAGAATATGTGAAAAATAGGTGGCTTCAAGTCACTAAAGAGTGGTTGCTATGGATACCTTTTATTCATTTTAGTATTAAATATCCAGCCACCTACCCAGTATTAGTAAATTTCGCGATTTTATCAATCAACCCTCGTAATAATGATTAAGATTTACCTAATTTATGGTATGTAGTTTGAAATATGTTATTGAGTAAAAGGTGATATATTGCAGTTGTCTTATCCATTGAAATAAGTCCCTTGTTGACAACAATCCCGCTCTGGCTGGATTTGTTTTCAATGGTTATAAGTCCAAGTTTAAGTTTCACCCTAGGATGTTTATTACTTGTGGCGGAACTGTTATTCAGAATAACTATGCCATACGATGATGTCGCATGGTATGCGATTCCAAAAGCAAAAGCCAGATCAAATATTTTGTATAACTATACTAGATGTTATCATCATACTATTAAACTACTGGTAATGAATTGCTGAAAAATTGGTCTGTTTTTTTTTTTAAATTATGTTTTATCGTTTGTTTTTATGCATTGTTTATATTGCTAAGTTAAGAGATTCTAGAAAAAAAAACTTTTGTCCTAGTATTATTATTATTATTATTATTAGAGAAACTGACTACGTTCCTGTTTGTACTGCGCCAGTGAAACTGTGCGGCCTAAACGACCTAAGAACAACACATTAAATACCATTTTAAATTCACCTTGTGCGCATTTATCTCAATTATCTTTTGTTTATTTTTCTGCTTTAAGTGCCCAAGCTGATCTATGTAAGAAATTCATTTTTGTTGTTTTTAGGCTTAGTCTGTGGAGTTTCTTTTAAGATAGCAAAGCAACATACTTTTCGCTATCAGTGGCACAACGTTGAATTGTTGATAGACGTGTACTTCATTATATCTGTTGCATATTTATTATCTTTTCCAATCCACGTTTGTTTTCATTTCAAAGCTCGAATATCAGATTAATGCAAATTTTGCGAGACATATGCAACCAATTTAACTTTAAACAAAAATTTCTTTGAAAAGCTCCATTATTTTATTTAAATTTTTCAAGACAGACTGAAATTTGTAGCACTGCTGTTGAAAATTCTCATGAAGAACTGCATATAAAAAGCTATGTTAAGAGAGACTGTTTATTTTCTCGTTTATTTAATTTGTTAAAATGGAGTAAAGCATATTGAATATTGCGTGCGTGTAGTTAAATCTGATAATATTGTCAGACTT